ATAAGCTATAGGAAGACTGGAAAGGTTGAATGGGGACCAGGTTATGAAGGGCTCTGAATGCTACAGAAGATTTTATTTTTGATTGTGGAGGGTAATAGGAAGCAATTTATGTAATTTATGCAATGAGAGTATAACATGGTCAGACACCCCCCGCCCCAACCCTTTCTATCAGTTTGACAGCTGACTGGGGGATGGACTGAAGTGGGAAGAGAGTTGAGGCAATCAGACTCTCCCCAGCAGCTCTTGCAGCAGTCCAGGTGTGAGGTGATGAGGGCCTTCACAAAGGCGGGAGTGCTTTCCAGGGATAGTGAAAGGGTGAATGTGACAGGGTTCAACTGCACATTTGATATGAGGATTGGGGGTGATGCACTTAGTAGTGGAAGATTGGACCTAGGGTTCTTGACTGAGTGACCAGGAAGCTGGTGCCTATCAGGAATTTACAGAGATCTGTAAATCTTCAGAGATCTGAAGAGACAAGGAAAGCCTCACACCTGGTGATTTGTCCTTTGGCAGCCAGCTAACTCTTTCTATGGAGACATTTGGGATAGTTTTTCTCCAAAGCTCAGTGGCATAGAAAAGAATTTTTCCTGGAAAAAAAAAACTTGTTACATTGGTAGCAGTGATGATATTAAGGTCGAGGTGGGGCATGGCACTGGAGTATGGAAGACAAATTAAATCAGGGTACAGATTATAGGCTTATAGAGTGTTTTAAGAAGTTGTTCAGTACCTTCAGTCCTGTCCGACTCTTTAAAAAAATTTTTTTTATTTAATAAACAAATGCACAATACGAAAAAGTAAAAGAAACATATTAGGAACTTAAATATTGAAACTTATATACAAAATAAGGCAAGAAAAAAGTGTGTCATGTGTACAGCAGAATGTGAGAGGATTCAGAATATACAGTAATAAGTGTCCATTTCAAGAAAGCCTGCCTGTATAATCAATACTATGCATTTCGTTGAAAACTGTCCATCTTTTCTTTACTTCCTTGTAAGTTTTCTTTTGTTCTATGCTGTGCACTTTTTTACTTTGCTCTTTTTTGTCCTTCTCTCATTCCTCCCCCTCCCAGACACTACAATTAAAGCATGGATAAATTTATAGATAGATAGATAGATAGATAGATATGTATATATACACCTATACATAAATACACATGCATACATATATGCATACATATTTACATATATAAATATATACATTCCTTAACAGATTCTAACCCTAATCTTTGTTTTTATGTGTGAGTGTATCTCATTTCCTACCCCTCCTGACTCCTCTACTTTGCTTTTATCTGCTACCTTGCCCTCCTCCAACAACCTACCCCCTCCAACAACTCCTCCCTTACCTTCCCATTACCATTAAACACCCTTCTACATCCCTCTTTAACCTATTCCCTCAACCTCCCCTCTGAACATCCCTCTCTTATCCTCTCCCCCATCCTTATCCCCTTAGCATTTTATTTCTTTCTAAATTTAGAAGACTTTTACACTCTTCTAGATGTATATGTATTGTTCCTTCTTGAACCCATTCCCAATGAAAGTAAGCTTCCAGAGCTAACAGCCCTGCTCCCCCATCTAATTCCTCTGTATCAGTTCTTCTGGCACCTCATTTGTATAAGATACTTACTCTTTTTAGCTGTTCCTGAATGATTTTGCTTTTTGAAGGCATATCATGCTCAGGTCTACCCCAATCTTTTTTATGAACTATCCAATTACTAATAACAATCTTAGACATGGGTTTTACATTTTACATATATAAAAAGTAAACAGTCTGTCCTTATTGAGTCCCTTGTAATTGGTCACTGGTATATACCTTATCTCTTATCTCTTATATGTCAAATATTCTATTAAATTCAGGTTTTTTTTTTTAAATCCTTAAAGTCTGACAATTCATTAAACGTCTTTTTTTTTTCATTCAGAATGACGCTTAGCTTTACTGGGTGTGATATTTTCAGCTAGAACAGCAGTTCTTTTGCTCTTTGATATATAGTGTTCCAAGGCCTGTAGTCTTTTAGTGTCACCACTGCTAGGTCTTATGTGATTCTAATTGTGGCACCATCATATGTAAATTGTTTTTTTTTCTTGTTGCTCATAATATTTTGTGTTTGAGCTGGGGGTTTCAGAATTTGACTGTAATATTCCTGTGGGTTTTCCTCATAGGATCTCTTTCAGGTTGGTGATTGGTAAATTTTTTTCTGTTTCTACTTTCCCCTCTTCTAATGCATCAGGACATTTTTCTTTAATTATTTCTTAAGATTTTTTTTTGATCATAACTTTCAGGTAGTCTGATTATTCTTATATTTTCTCTTCTTGATATGTACTCTAGATCAGTTATTTTTATTATGAGATATTTTATATTCTCTTCTATTTTTTAAAATTCTTTATATTTTGTTTTATTATTTCTTGATCTCTTATAACTTTATTGGCTTCCCCTTGCCCAATTCTGATTTTCAAGGAGTCAATTTCTTCCTTAAGATTCTGGATCTCCTTTTCTAATTGGTTGACTTTCTTTTCATAATCTTCTTGTTTTTCTTGGATTCTCCTTATTTTTCTTTTTAGTTTTTCCTCAATCTCTCTCCTTTGATTTTTAAAGTCTTTTTTAAGTTGTTCTATAAGTTGTTTTTGGGCAGGTAACCATTTGACAGTATTCTTTGGAGTAGGAGAGAGTTTCTTTGCTTTTGTATCATCCTCTGAAGATGAACTCCAGTCTTTTGTATTTTCATAGAAACTCCATATGGTTGGATTCTTTCTCCTTTGGCTGGGCATTTCTTTGTAATAGTTTAGTTCTTGTAATCATCTCTAGGCCTGGGGCATGGGGGATGGTGCCTCTGGCCTTAGATCCTCCTTCAGTTCTCCCCTCTGACCTTGAACTCAAATCAAGACCTCCAGCCTCCTGTAAATGCCCACGGTCAGCTGCAGCCCCGCCTCACTGTATCTGCACTTACCAGGTGTGTCCTGGTTCCTTCTAACCCCTGTGGGGTCTCCACAGCACGGCTGAGTCTACTGTTTCTTGTCAGCAGAGGTTCCCTCCACTTTTCCTGGCTCAGACACCCAACTCCCTTCACCATCCTAGAGTTAAAAGTTCCTGGGGTTGGGACAGAGGCAGCCTCCCAACCCAGCTAATGCCAGGACTTGCTGCTTATTGTTCAAGCTGACCAAGGACCTACCCTGGAAGTGTTTACTCTTCATAGGAAGGAAGCCTCATCCTGGGATTTTTCTTCAGATTTTCCCTGATTATTCCTTGAGGACTTCCTGCTCTTATTTATTTTAACTGCTCTATGTTCACCCTGAGGTGCTGTTTTATTTCTTTTGTGGAGGAAAATCTTGAGAGCTTGAAATTTTCTGACCATCTTCCCCAAATCCTCTCCATGTCTGATTCTTAAGTGAAAAAGGAGTGATTCAGGGGACCCTAGAGAAAAGAAAAGATTCAGAAATTCTTGGGAATCTCAAGAAGTGTAAAAGAGCAATAAATTTCTCAATTGTTCTAAAGTAAAATAATGGAATAAAGAAGTGAAAAGTGAAATATAGATTACAAAAAAACCCTAAATCAAATGTTTTAAAGAAGAAATCACAATGATGAAAAATGTATCAGCAATTTTATGCACAGGATGGAAGGTTGTTCCCAAACATCAGAGTCTCTGATAAAGTGAATCCTATGCTTATGACTGAAATGGAAGACCATCAGATTCCAAGTTGATTGGCCAAACATGTGTTGTGAATGTATAAGGCTAGAAATATAGATGACCCCTCCCAAGTATCAAAATATTCACAGATCTGGCCAGCCTCTCCTGTATATGACCTATCAGTCAGACCCTAAACTCATTCTTTTGACTCTTGTTTTCCCAAGTTTCTACAGTTCTAGAAGTGTGTTTAGATAATTTATTTCTCATAAAGAAACTGGCTAAACTTTTCTGATAAATTAGCTCAAACAAAACCCAAGCTAATTAAATATTGCTTCTTTTTTTTTTAACCAATAAAGGAACCCTCTTTCCTCCATCATGGTTGTTGTTTGGTCATTTCATTCATGTTCAACACTTAGTAAACCCGTTAGGGCTTTTCTTGGCAAAGATACTGGAATAGTTTGCTGTTTCCTTCTCCAGATCATTGTACAGATGAGGAAACTGAGATAAACAAGGTTAAGTGAATTGCTCAGGGTCACACAACTACTAAGTTACTAAGGCCATATTTGAACTCATTAAAGATGAGTCTTCCTGATTCCAAGCCCAGTGCTCTATCAACTATGCCACCTAGCTTGCCCTTCTCCATCACAGTTACTCTTTTTATTATGTAATTAATTTTGTAATTAAGGAATATACACCATGGACAAATGAAAGCAATCATAAAACCAAAGTATAAACTGTTTTGGATATGACACATACCCAGAGTGACCTCAAGCCCTCAATGTAATAATACATAACTCTTCTTCACTTGGCTGAAAAGCACCTCATACCACTCAATGCAGTCCAGAATCTGATGAATATCTCTTTAGAATTCTCTTCATGTTTTCATCCAGATAAGACTTTCTTCAAGCTCTCAGGAAACAAACTAGATGTTTAACTTTGTTCTTTTTTAAAAGATCTCATAAAACTCCCCCATCCCATCTCAGCTTCTCATAAAGACTTCACAGAGTTTTCTTTAAAATATACCACACACTTCTGAAAGGGAAGAAATTTCACATCACTCTCTCTCTTTCTTCTCCATAGATCCACACACCTCACAGATAGAACACATTTTCTCCCTGATTCCACAAGAAGATACATTGCAAAATAAGATATTTCTCAGATTTATTCCAACTGATAACCATATAAAATGCTTTTCTCAAAATTCCATTGGGCTCTTAATGACAATGATTTCAGGTGTTCAGTCTGGCAATCATAAAGGACATGGCTATTGGGCAAATCCCTTCTCTGGGTTTCAAGTTTCCTCCTATAAATCAATGAGGATCAGACTATTTACTTCTGCAGTGTTTTTCAGCTCTATGGCCTATGACTTTTGATGATTTAGGAGAGAGTGACATTCAACGATGTGGCTGTGAACTTCACCCAGGAGGAGTGGAGCCTCTTGGACCATCCTCAGAAGGCATTGTACAAGGGGGTCATGCTGGAGAATGCCTGGAACCTACTATCCCTGGGTAAGGACACTTCCCCTGGTAACTCTGAGTCTGCAAGCAAAGGGGACATCTTCATTCCCTAGTGTGCAGGGTTTGGAGGATCTATCAGTTATTAGAGAGAGAAAATATTAGTCTCCTGTGTCCAAGAGACAGACCCCTCATGCTGCCTAGTTTTCCTAGAAGAAATCTTTGCATTCTGTGATAGGAACCAGAGAGTTTCCTTTGTTGCACCTGATGCTGTCTCTTACCAATTCTAGGTAGCTTCAGGTCGGAGATCCAATTGGTGTGGAAGAATCTCAGACGTGCAACTAATCTCAGGGAGTTATTTGGTCTAACCTCTAGCTGGACGTGAATTTTGTCTGCCAAATCTCTGAGAACTGCTCAGGCAGCTTTTCCTTGCAACCCCTTCCTCTTTGGGATGGGTCTAGTATTTGGAATAGTCTTCTATTTAACAAGCAGACATTGGTAGCTCATAGCTCTTACTTGTAGCCAGTGTAGCACATTTGTCCTTCATCTTCCTTCCTATTACCCCAAAATTCCCACAAAGATGGTGGGACAGGAAGCGAAGGGAATAGGCATTTATATTCACCAGCTATTTGCCATGTGCCGGGAAAAGTGATTTCTTTACACTATTATGTTACTTTATCTTCACAATAACCTTCGAAGTTGGGTGATATTATCCCCAATTTACAGTTGGAAAACTGAGACAAACAGCTGTAAAGTGACTTGTCCAGAGGTACCCAGCTGGTAACTATCTGAGACAGGATTTAACCTCAGGCAACCCTGACTCCAGGTCCAGGGCTCTCTCTACTGCACCATCAGCTGCCTCTGATTTCTAGACAATGGAAACTACACAATGAGTCTATCCTTCTATGAAGAAGGTGCACAAGATCAAATTCTCTGACTCCAAACAGGTTCCATGATTTTTCCCCCACCTCTCACCCAAAGGGGCAAACACTTCCTGAATGAACAGTACACAAGGTTTCTATAGGTCTCAGGAAGTGAGGAGCCAGTACAGGGGGACAGGGCAAAGGGTGATTCATCAAGGTCCCTGGAGCTGGGGCACAATTACCCTTTTACCCAGTTTGGGCATGAGGAGTTTCTGCCAGAACAGAGCATAACAGGATGGGGGGCAGAGGGTTTGGCTGTTTCTCAGAACAGGTTGTACAACACATCCCATTTTGGGTTACTTGCAACACAAACTCTGATGGGTCAGTATGTGTGACCAGAATGGAGTGATTCTCAAAGTGGGACAGCTCTGTATCCACACTCTTCTCCCTAAAGTGAACTAAATTACAAGTTTCTCTCCATGCCCATCCCTAACTGACTCCCATGCCCAGGGCTTCCAGTTCCCAGAGAAGATGTGGTCTCTTATTTTGAGCAAAAGGAAGCACCATGGATGCTGGAGCAAGAAGGCCTGAGGAGCTGCTGTCTAGGTGAGTGAGGTGAAAGCAAGTATATGAGACCTGTGATTACAAGAGGCTGCTATGTGTTATGGTGAAGCAAGTGCTAGATTTGGGGGCAGGAAGACCTGACTTGGAATTCTTTCTCAGATTTTTTTTTAGTGGTGGCTTCCTGGGTCATTCACTGAAAAATGGAGCCTCAGTTTCCCCATTTGTCAAATGAGGCGGTTAGACTCCATGGCCTTTCAGCTCCTTCTAGGGATAAATCTATCATCTTATAAGAAGTCATTATTTGGAATTTGGGGACCTGGAATCTTCTGAAAGTATCAAAAGGGGTTAGGTTCTCCAATATGAGCTCTTTCTTAGACCTTCAAGCCAACAAACATTTATTAAGTGCCTCCTGCATGCCAGACCCTTTGTTAAGCACCAGAGACATAAAGAGATACCAGGACATACCCGGCTCTCTTGGAACTCACAGTCTGGTGGGGCTGACAACACTCCAACAAGTATGCAGATACCCACTATGGACAGGATAAATTGGAGCAGGTCAAGAGAGGGAAGGCACTAAAGTTAAGAAGGATTGAAAATGATTTATTGTAAAAGAGGGGCTATAGCCAGGGCTTCAGGGAAGCCAGGGCAAGTGTTCTAGGCAAAAAGGGTATTGAGAAAAACCCAGGGAGTCAGGAGGTGGAGTGTCCTGTTCACAGAACAGAAAGGAGGCCCATACCATATAGCATATATGGGGGGAAGTAGGGTGAAAAAAAGACTGGAAAAGCAGGAGAAGGGGAGGTGATGAAGGGCTCTAGCAGCCTGAGGGAGGATTTTATATTGGATCCTTTGCCGGGGAGCCAGAGGAGGTTGTTGAGTGGGTGGTGACATGGTCAGGTGAGAGTTTTAGGACAATGACCTTGACAACTAGGTTGAGGATTGCCTGACTCGGGGGAGAGAGGCAGCCAGATCAACCAGCGGGTACTGAAATATCTGAGGTGTGAGGTGATTAGGGCCTGAATCAAGAAAGTGTCAATGATGGAAGAGATGTCACACAAGTGGAATCACAGGACTTTGTTCCATATTGAATATGGGGTCAGGAGTGTGAGTGTGTAAGAGTTGATGAGAAGTGCATGATACTTCATCTCTGAGCCTGGATTATTGGAGGATGCCTGCCATAGCATTGGGAAAGTAGGAAGATTTGAGGGTTGGGGCAAAAAGAATGAGTTTCACTTTGGATATGGTAGAAGGAGAACCAGGAGAGAGTTGTGTCACTAAAGCTTAGAGAGAAGAGTATCAAGAAAAAGGGGTGATTGACAGTGTCAAAGCCTGCAGACAAGTCAAGAAGAATGAGGTTAAAGAAATGACAATTTGAAGATTATTGGTAATTCTGGAGAAAGAAGGGTCAGTTGAACAATGAAGGTGGGAGCCAGACTACAGAGAGTTTCAAAAAAAGCAAGGGAAAGGAGTTGGAGACACCAGTTGTAAATGGTCATCTCTAGCTGTTTAGTTCTAAAAAAGAGGAAATAAATTGGACAATATCTCATGGGGATGTATGAATCATTGAGGGTGTTTTGAGAGAAATGATTTTATTTGTGTCAACAGGGAAGGAGTCATTAGTGTGGGAGAGAGTGAAAATCAGTGAAAAAATGGATATACTGGGGGAAGAATATAATAGGCTAGATGAGGGATGGAATGGGATTATTTGCACACATAAAGAGATTTGTTTTAGCAAATATAGCAAGCAAGTATCTTCTGATACTGGGGCCAAAAAGGAAATAAGGGCTCTGATTTATGTGAGATAAGGAGAATAAGATAGCTCTTGATAAATGTCCAGTTTTTTCAATGAAGTAAGAGGCCTAGTTCTTAAGTGAGAAGGTGTGGATAGGGTTAGGGGTAGGGTTAGCCATTAGGGAGGGTTGGGGATGAATGAAAAGATTTGGAAAAGCTACTGTGGTGAGTGGCATGGGGAGTCAGCTTGGTAGATATCAAAAGATTGCCTTGCCACAATGAGGGTCCAGCTAAGATTAGGTAGCTGAAATTTGTAATGGACCCAGGTGGCCTGATTTCATGATTTTCTCTCCCTCATCCAGGAGCATATGAGTTGGAGTGAAGGCTGCTGTCTTACTTAGAAGTCGTGTGAGGCTGAGCTATACATAAATCATTAGCCCAAGTCCCTTTCCTGATCTCTATGGCTCAATCTCTGTCTGATTCTTGGAGACTCATTGACCAAGTTCATGTAGTGACTATGACCTCAGTTTAGGGAGCTGGGAGGTAGAGACTTGAAGGTGTCCCATGGTATAAGACCCTTCAGGAGCCTAAAAGGGAGCATCTGTGATCTTCAATGTTGGGTCTGGTCAGGTTCCATCAGAGTTAGAACCTAATGCAAGAAAGAGACAGAACTATGACTGAAGCCAGAACATGCGTTTGATAATTCAGAGAGAGGCCAGAATGCAGGGATTGAAGTAGAGGTTAGGGTCTGCTGTCAGCCCTCTGCCCAGTCAAGCAATCAATAAACACTGATTAAGCACCTTGTGTTTTAAGCACTGTGCTAAGCTCTAAGGGTACAAAGAAAGGTAAAAGAAAGTCTCTGCTATCAGGGAGCTCCCAACATAGTAAACAAACATGGAGATAGAGAAGAAGAACAGAAGATGAACCTTACTTTTAATTGATCTACTTGAAAAGAGATTGTTTTTGAATGGAAATACATTTAGTTCAACAGAGAAATGACAAGGAGTGAGGATAATAACAATCTGAGAAGGAGAACACAATTGGGGGGAAATAATCTAAATCAAAATCATGATTAAAATAATAGCTAGCATGTATAGTCATATGAAAAAAAATATTCTAAATCAATATTGATCAGAGAAACGCACATTAAAACACCTTGGAAGTACTACCTCACACCAATCAGAGTGGCTAATATCACCAAAAAGGAAAATGTTGGATATTGGAGGGGATGTGGGAAAACTGGGACATCAATGCACTATTGGTGGAGTTGTGAACTGATTCAACCATTCTGGAGAGCAATTTGGAACTATGTTCAAAAGGCTATAAAACTGTGCATACCCTTTCGTCCAGCAATGCCACTTCTAGGTAGACATCCAAAAAAAGGGACAAGCACCTATTTGTATAAAAGTATTTATAGCAGCTCTTTTTGTGGGGGCAAAAAATTAGAAATTGAAGTGATGCACATCAATTGGAGAATGGCTAAACAAGCAGTGATATATGATTTTACTGGAATACTATTGTGCTGTAAGATATGACAAGCAGGATGATTTTAGAAAATCCTGAAAAGACTTACATGAATTGATGCATAATGAAGTGAACAGAACCAGGACATGGTACATCATAAGAGTAATATTGTTTCACGAGGAACTATGAATGACTTAGCTTTTCTCAACAATGCAATGATCTAAGACAATCCCAAATGATGAAAATTCATTGTTTTTAGCTCCCTAACCAGTAAATACAATGAACTGATGGTTATTATATAAAAGATTTATTTTTCTCCTGGCTCATGACAAGTAGTGTGTCCCATGATATAAGACTATGATAATGTACAATGATAAATGTACTTGGAAGTTAATTGCACAGAATGTATCTTTTTTTAAACAATGTTTGTATTTAGAATCAATGTTGTAAGGATAGTATTTCTTCAGACATAACTTTCTTTTTTCTGCCAATGAAAAACCAGGTACGTTTTCATTGAAACTCTACTGAATGACTAATCTGTGTTGCCAAACAGTTCATTTGAGAAGCTGACAGGGAGGCGAATAATAACATAAGTAGAGGATAGGTTCAAATCTGAGAACAATCTTAGCATTGCAATGAGGGGTTCTTTAAGGCCTGTTTTTGTAGAACATTTGTAGGGGTCCATGATGGCTTCAATGTGGCCTCTACTGTACATGCAGAGCAATCATGGTTCCAAAGAGCCTGTTATCTCTGCTGCAAGAATGCAAACCCCTGTAACATCTTGATCTGGTGATTACAGCTTTGAGGAGATGTGATTACAAGGTAACCCAGGAATGAGAGGGCTATTGTGGTGCAGTTCCAAAGAGCCATTGAGGGTCTGTGCATGCTTGTGACCATTTGCACATGAATGTCCAACGTTTCTGGAAGTTTGGAAATAATTTGATGTTGAGAAATGGAAAAAACATGTTACAATAGTCAGAAGCAGTCAGAGTGTGATGTTCTTATATGCCTGACCGTAATGATTTGGAATCACTGCAAAAAGAATTCTATTATCATTGAAATTTGTACAAGCTTGTTGTCCCAGAGCATAAATATCTTAGCAACAAAAGTGGATGATTACTTAATACTTAAGGTGACATTAACAAATTTTTAGTTAATCCTTTGGACAACTGTATAGAACCTCCAATGGGGTTTGTGAAACCATAAATGGGAAAGAGCTTCCAGAAGACTAATAATGAAGCATGCTGTCCACTTCTTTTCTGTGTGTGTGATGTGTTCATTTTATTTAATAATATCCATACCATGTTATTACCATGGAATGTCAATTCATTTTAAACATTAGAATTCCACAAGTGTAACAAAGCATTACTTAAATATGTCAACATTTGCATAAGGAGAATGCGCCCATAATATGATAAACCATCAGATCTAAAGGACAGTAATGTATTTTTCAATTGGACATGATTCTTAGAGAGAAAACACAATACTGCACACATTTTAAGTCTCTTTACTGCTGAACAAGCAGTTCAAATACACATAAAACAGATGGCATTTAAAAAACAATTTCAATATGGTAGCAGCAAAAATACAACTAAGCCATACCACTTGTTATTCTTATCTTTTACTAACTTCATAATAAATACTACTGTGCTAAGTAGCCTGGTTAACAACTATTCAAGACTCATCTTAAATATAAAGAAGAAAATTCTTGCTACAATATTTTATTTCATGTTTTTCTTACAGATGTTCTTTTGGTCCTAGTCAAAGCCAGGCAGCCCTAGACACTGAAGTTTCCATCATTCTACAAGATGAGGAAGTGTTTCCTGAATTGTGTTAAAGCAGCTTCCCATATTATATCCCCAAATATTTCCTGTCTTAAAGCAATAGGAGCTATATCTTGGCCCTCTAATTTTTCAGTCATTAATTTTTGAGATTTGAGGAATATGAATATAATTTATCCCAAGTAAGCTTCAGTGACCAGTTCCTTTTGTGCTAACTTAGCTCTCCTAATTCACTCTCTGATACTAATCAGTATACCTGGAATCACCTGGGAAACTCAAACTTCCATGAAAAAAAAATCCCATCTTTAAAATATCATGATTGCTTGTCTCTGACATGTGCTGCTTTTTAGAACCACATATCCCTAAATGATTTATTTTTAAACATAAACAGATGACCTCAATGTGAGTATCTAACTCTAAAACATCAGCATGAAGACAGCATCTTTCCTCCTATGGTTTGGATTTTACCCAGTATTCCCGATACATGGAGTACAATATACCAACAGTCATTGCTCCTACTACGAAACCTTGGGCTCCCACACTCGTGTGAATCAGGTGGACAGACATTTTAGTGTCCCCTCTACTCCTCAGTTTGTATAATCCATATGCAACAATAGCTGCAAAGCCTGCCATTCCAATTGGGACAAATGGTGCCTCTTTAGCTTTTTGAGCAGGTTTTGATCCCAAAGTCTCATCATAAATGGAGAGGGAAGCATCATTGTCTGCTGACATTGTAGCTGGTTGAAGAGCCTTCAGAACAAGATGAAGCAAAACCACCTTCCACAAGCAGCCAGTCACTTCAGCTTCACCTCCAACCTTCCCCATCTACGTCACCTGTCCACTTCTTTACAAAAGGATGATAGACTCAAATTCATGTATGAGATACATATTTTCAGACATGGGAAAGACCATATGTTTTAAAAATTACATTTATTATGAGAATTTTTTTTAGTACAAACATTTTATTTTTTAATATGTTTTATTTTCTCCTACTAGACATTAAAACTTTCCAAACATTTGTTTAGATTTCAAATTCCAAATTCTTTCCATCTTTCCCCTCTCCTCTCCCTGAAATGGTAAGCAATCTGATATAAGTTATACATGTGCAATCATTATTACAAGGATTTCATTTTTATTTTAGTGAGCCCAGGCACTTAAAGACAATTAAAAAAAAAGAAATAAGTAATGGCTAGCCCAAAACATTAATAGGCCAAGGGGCAACGAGGTGGTACAGTTGATAGAGCTCCGGCCTTGGAATCAGGAGGACCTGAGTTCAAATTTGGCCTGAGACACTTGACATTTACCAGCTGTATGACCCTGGACAAGTCCAGTTGCCTCACAAATAAAATTTGTTAAAGGCCAGAATGAAATCTTTTATGCTTTAGATAAATACAAAAAACAGTACTGGTATTCTTCATATGACCTCAAATACTGCAAGAGAAAGGAATAAGATTGAAAGATTATGAAATAATTTGAATATTTAGTATATGTGCACCAAATGGCATATATCTAGGGGAAAAAATTTGAAAGTACAGATGATGAAAAGGAAAGATTGAAAGTGGAAACAGTCTGTCTAGTACTATGGACAGAGCATGCTAAGTCATGGGTTTGAGTTCTTGTCTCTGTCTGGGATTTCAGTCAGTTCACTCAGCCATTCTGAACTTGTGGCCTGAGTTGTGAAAGTGATAATAATGCCTTGCCTCTGTCACAGGTTTGTTGTGAGGATCCAATGTAATTGTGTGTGAAGCTCTTTGTAAATTAAATCATCCTTGGGATGTGAGCTAATGGCATTTTGATACAATTTGTTCTGCTAATTTGAAGACTTGAAGTTTGAAGACTTTTCTCTTTACCTGGGGAAAGAGAATATAAAGGAATTTATGTTCTGCCAATGGAGGGAAGGGGAAATAATTACACATTTTATTGCTTGTTTCTTTCAGAAGGAGACATGAGACTGGAAGTGAAGGAGACTATGGCAGAGCTAAGTCTTTCTGTGGAAGAAATTCAGGAGCAAAGATCCATGGATGATGGTCCCTGTGACATCACTTGGGGAGAATTCTGTGCTCTACATCAGAGAATCCACACTGGAGAGAAACCTTATGAATGTAATCAGTGTGGAAAGGCTTTCATGAACAGGGCAAGTCTGGCTCAACATCAGAGAATCCACACTGGAGAGAAATTGTATGACTATAATATGTGTGGAAAGGGTTTTACACAGAGGTCCTGTCTTAAAATACATCAGATAATCCACACTGGAGACAAATCTTATAAATGTGATCAAAGTGGAAAGGCTTTTACCCAGAGGTCTTATCTCAGTGTACATCAGAAAATCCACACTGGTGAGAAATCTTATGAATGTAATCAGTGTGGAAAGACTTTCCGAGGCAGCTCCAGTCTTGCTCAACATCAAAGAATTCACACTGGAGAAAAACCTTATGAATGTAATCAGTGTGGAAAATCTTTCTTACTGAGGGCTCATCTTGCTAAACATCAGAGAATCCATACTGAAGAGAAACCTTATGAATGTAATCAATGTGGAAAGACTTTCAGAGGTGGCTCCAGTCTTGCTGAACATCAGAGAATCCACACGGGAGAAAAACCTTATGAATGTAATCAGTGTGGAAAATCATTCCCACTGAAGGCTAATCTTACTTTACATAAAAGAATCCACACTTGTGAGAAACCTTATGAATGTAATCAATGTGGAAAGGCTTTTAGAGACAATTCCACTCTTGCTAGACATCAGAGAAGCCATACTGGAGAGAAGTCTTATGAATGTAATCAATGTGGAAAGGCTTTTGCACTGAGAGACTCTCTTAGAGTACATCAGAAAATCCATACTGGAGAGAAACCTTATGAATGTAATCCATGTGGAAAGGCTTTTAGAGACAGTGCCACTCTTGCCAGACATCAGAGAATTCACACTGGAGAGAAACCTTATGAATGTAATCAATGTGGAAAGGCTTTTACAGTCAGGGGCCTAAGGAACCCATGAGGACATTGCCATTTCCTTCAGCACAGAGTTTCTAGGGCATCACTCCCTTTTCTAGTGGAGGAGGTGTTACAGTGCCCCTCACTTCTGGGATTATGTTCCCACTGGGCTCAAGGGCCTCTATATATATCTCCCAGAGGGTGACATGCCAGCTTGCCCAACAATGCTGCTACATGACGGTTGGTGACATGATCATGACTTGGGACAGTCATTTTGACCAAAAATGGTCATCTTAAGTTTTACCAAAAGTATGATCTGACCTTTTAACCAAAAATGGTAATAATACTGATTTTAAAATATATTCCCACTGGGCTCAAGGGCCTCTATGCATACCTCCTAGAGGGTAACATGCCAGCTTGCCCAACAATGCTGGTTATATGACAGTTGGTGAGATGATCATTACCTAGGACAGTCATTTTGACCAAAAATGGTCATCTTAACTTTTACCAAAAATATGATCTGACCTTTTAACCAAAAATGGTAATAATACTGATTTTAAAATACGATATGCCCTCAGTGTTCATCATACTATACTTGTCACTATCCCTTAGAAAAAAAGTGACATAAATGAATGACTTGAACATTTAATGGCTTTTAAGGTTCTTTCTAGCTTAAATTTAATGAACATATTACCTACAAATAGTGGCCACAGCAAACAGAGAGCTGAGACAGAAAGGCACAAACATTTAAAAGGAGAAACTGGAATAAAATGATTAGGTATGTTGGACACTAGAGAAACGCAAGCATTTGCTATCAAAGTTGAAATAGTAAAACATTAAGAACATGATTAGTGGAGAAATGGTTGTGGGGAGGGAGCCATCCTTCCTCATCATCATCAACAACAAATGTTGACCAACTAACACCAGTAGTCATTCTAGATAGGCACGGTGGCCTTGGGAGTGGCCATGCCCTGCTTGACTATGGTGTACAAGGTCTGCTTCTAGCCCAGTCCTCACAGTTATTGTCTGGGAAAGCAAGTCTTGTGGAGAAGGGGCCAGACATCTACACACAGCAGGCCCAGGAGCCTTGGGAAGAATAACACTTCCCAGTCTGGTGCCCTCACTCATTCAGGGACAGATCCCCTGTGGAGATGTGCCTGGCAGGAGCTCCTGCAGGGCCTACAGTGTCACCTAAGGAGGACCCAGAAAAGCAAGTTCTTGCCCCAAAAGTCTTTGGTACTAACCCTCACCCTAATTCCAATGGTTCAACATCAGAAAGTGATTAAGATTTTATTGGAAGAGGTGTCACCATCAGCTTTGCTATTTCACCCTAAGCACCATGGGTGGTCCATTCAACTTGCAGCTCAAATGTCTCATAGGTGTTGTCTTTCCCATTAGAGCATGAGCTTTGTGGGGTGCAGTCTTACTTGACTAATATGATTTCCAGTGCTTGGTTACATAGTAAGCCAACTTAATCAATGCTTTGAAGATCCTATTCATTCCTGAAGTTACAATTTAAAGTGAAAGGATATCAAAGAACTGTGAAAACCATTGGCCTTGATTACTATATATTCAGAGAGTCAAAAAGTTAGCATGGTAGAGCTGAGTCAGGAAGTCCCTAGTTAAAACCCACCTCTGAAGCTCATCTGGCCCTATTTAATAACCCTCAGTGCCTCCTGCAAACTCCCTAAGCCAGCTGATCTACTTTAGTGAAGGGATTTTCCATACCGAGAGTTCTCTATACCAGTGAAATTGCACGTCCCTTTCTAAACGACAGTGGAGAAAAGTACATGGAAATTGGAGATTTCATTTTTTTATTTCAACATCCAAGGATACCAATTGACCAGGCAGAAAGAGCTTTGAGAACCAAAGACATGTAACACATAAAAACATTAACAAATACCATGAAGAATATAAAACAGCAGCAAACCACGTACCTTTTTCTTCAAAGTTTGGTCGCTTAGATTATAGGGAAAATAAAAAAAAAAACCAACAAGGTTGAATGACTAAGACAGAGGTACAAATTGGGGGTGGTACGCTAATATGCCCTTAAATGAAGGCATCTATAGTTCTAAATATTCATTATGGAAACAAATAGGAGATTTGAGGTGTTTTATTTTTTGATAAAATTTAATCATTTTGTTCTGAATAGCAAAATTTACTCCATGTCTTCAATGGACGATTTGTAGGAATGAAGATCAGAAAGGCTCTTCAAAGATCACTGTGGTGTGATGATGATAGTGATGGTGATGATGATGATGATAAGTAGAAGAAGAAATGTATATATAGTGCTTCTCACGTCCTTGCTGGGCCATGCATTTTTATCTCATTGGATTGTCATAACCTTGAGAGGTAGGTGCTATTATCATCTCCATTTTACATATGAGAAAACTGAGGTAAACAGAGGTTAAGTGACTTGCCCAGGGTCACACAGGTGGTAAGTTATCTGAAGCTTTACTTTAAACTCAAGTGTCCCAGGCTCTGGGGGGAGCCAGTGCTCGATCCACTGCAGTGCCACCTAGCTGCTTCTATAACAACTCCCCCTTCCTATGTATCATAGTGGCATGATCATTGTTGTCCCCACTTAGCAGCATAATGAGGGAGGGAGCATATGTTAGTGAAATTGTCTAGATTTGTAGTCATGAATACCTGGTCTCTTATGTTTAATACTAGGCTATGTGATGACTCTGATCAGGTCGGTGAATAACATATTTTGGCATCAGGAACTCCTTGTATTCGCCTACTACATCACTGATTAGCTGCAACTTGTGTTGGTGGAGAGGCCTTGGATCCTTCATGTGTCTGCCTGTCCAACATTAAAGTCATGATGGCCAGTCCATCATCAGCACACTGAGTGCTGACATGGATTATCTAGGTCACTTGGGCCTAATGAGCTCTGTTCATTGGAAATGTTTTGAGAACAAGTTTAGCAACAAACATCCTAGAATAAGCCCAAGCTAGGTTGTATTTAAACTCTATAGTTCAATGGCTAATATGGCGATGTTTTGTGTGGGTATCTATCATATTGCTTGCCTTCTCCATGGATGGAGGAGAGGCAAGAAAGAGAGAGAGAATTTGGAACTCAATTTTTTTTAAATGAATGCTATTAATAAAAACTCTATCAATCAAAATAGTCAATATCTCTTTACTCTAGACTACTCCTGACACCCTGGAAATTCACTTCAGTCCCTTGATTTCTCTCACACTAGCAATATCTGCTGCCCCTGCAGCCAGTGTCCTTCCAGAACCTCAATTTTAAGGAAAGTACTCAGGCCAGCCATGTCTAATTGCTCGAGTTCACTCAGGATTAATCCCAAGTATTCCATTTTCTGGTTCTGGACATGGAGAACTTCCCTCAAGGAACTACATTTTTTATTTAGTATGGTGGTTGGGATTCATACATTAAATATCCACACAAATAGACACCCCCCTCCCCCCACAGAAAACATCATTGCCACCTCAACATGGTTGGTTAGACAGTACAGATCCAGATCTCATATATACAGAGCAGAGGTCCATTAGAATGTGAAGTGTCTGACTGTAAAGGTCCATCCAAGATTATGTTACGTCCATTTCCAGAATTACTTTCAGAATATAATGCTTTGCAAATATCCCTTTAGTTTAAGTCTGAACAGCAAGAAATTCCCTCAAGAAGCTATGTTGATTTATTTTGCAGATTGTGTATCAACCACTCATATTCATGAACATATTACCAACAAATACACACACAAACACATAAAAACGAGGGCCTACATTGTTGGGCTGAAAGGGACTAGACTTGATGATACATGAAGTAAGATACAGAGCCGAGGCTCTTTAGAATGTTAAGCATCTTGACTGTTGAAAGATAAAGATTCTATTATGTCCAGTTGCTCCAGTTATCTCTCACAATGCAATCCTCGACATCCATTTATTTTGAAGCTGAACTTCAAGAATGCCTTCGTTGATTTATTGCATTCATGGTATGGTGACATGACAACATGCTTCTGACCCAGGTAAATTACCTTTGTATGGACCTTCAAAATCACCTTATCTGCAAATAAAAATAAGCATCCTTAAATGACCTATGCTATTTTCTTTCCTACTTCAGATGCAATCTTAATAGATCAGCTTCTACATTTTCCCATAATAATAATGATGCTGGCTAAATGAGGAATCTTTAATTAAATAATTATATTATCACTGATATTAAAATAAGACAGATAAAGTGCATTATAAATGAAACACACACACACACACACACACACACACACACACACACACACACACGGGCCAACATTGATAATCCAAACATAATGTTGGATTGTAAGGTGACAGAGTTGATTCTCTATACAGAGCTGAGGCTCTCCAGATGCTCTACAGCATCTGACCATGAAAGGTCACGATTACTCCTCAGGATTCAATCCAAAACAATCCATCTATTTTGAAGCAGAGCTTCAAGAATCTCCCTCAAATACCTCTGCTGATTTATTTTCCAGATTGTATTCGTGGTGTGGTAACATAACATTTCTCTGATCTACAGTAAGTTACCTGTGTATGACCTTCAAAATGACTTTATTTCCCCAGGCCCTCATTTCTCATTTGTTAAAAAAAACCATAAAGCGTATTTAAATGATCTTTAAGATTCTTTCCCACATTGGATATAATATAATTATTGGCTTGACTTCTAGCATTGCTCCATGACAACAATGCTAGTTAGATAAGGACTTCTTAATTAAATAAGTGATTCTTAATTAAATCATTGTATTATTACTGATATTTTAAAAAGACAGATAACGTGTATCAATACCACAAAATATGCACACAAGGGCTAAAATTGATAACACTCAAGAATTTTGGGTTGGAAGGCAACTAGATGTGATCCTGAGATTACAAAGCTCATGCTTGTTAGAATGGCTGGCACCTGACCCATGAAAGGTAAAGACTGTGTTATATCCACTTGCCACCATTGCCTCTCAGGATTTAATCTCAAATATATCCCTTCATTTTGAAGCTGGAATTCAAGAGTCTCCCCCAAAGATCTTTGTTGGTTTATTTTTCAGATTAGTGGTATGGTAACATGACAAACACATTCTTGACACTGGTAAAAATTACATTTGACCTGTGTGTCAACACAACTTATTTTAACCTTCCTCAGAACTCATTTCTTGATTTGCAAATATGTGTGTATATTTGTGTATGCATGTACACATATGTATACATGTGTGTATGTATATGTGCACACATGTGTGTGTGTGTGTGTGTGTGTGTGTGTGTGTATTTGATGTTTCTCTGATCTCTGACATTCCACCCACTTTGGATGCAAATATCATTGGCTCAGAATCTATCATTTCTCTATAATAATAATCTGGCTAACTAGGAAATTCTTAGTTAAATAAACAATTTCTTTACTATTTGAATTATTATTGATATTTAAATAAGCCATATAAAGTGTATATACCAAGAAACCTGACCCACACATATAAAACATAGATACACATGAATGCAGGGCCATCATTGATAACCTAAAATTTGGGGGCTGAAAGCTACTAAATGTTATCCTATATGTAGTAAGATAGAGCCAAGGCTCTCCAGAATGTCCTGTATCATGACTGTTGAAAGGCAAAAATCATTCTGTTATATAGTTGTCAGTTACCTCTCAGGATTTAATCCCAAATGTCCCTTTATTTTGAGGCCTGACTTCAAGAATTTTCCTCAAACATTTTTGATTTGTTTTTTAGGTTGTATTAGTGGTATGGTACACAACATGCTTCTGACACAGGTAAATTACTTTTGTGTTACTTTCAAATCCCTTTACCTCTCTAGGCCTCCATTTTTTCCTCATTTGTTCCTCATTTGTGAAAAAACAAAAGAGAACATGCACATTTAAATGGTCTGTTCGATTCCTTCGCACTTTGGATGTAATCTTATGGGTCTGCTTCTAGTGATTCTGCATAATAATGCTGGCTCTCTCTATATAAAAATAAAATATATAAACTATATAATAGTTTAAATATATGAATATAGTTACTGTATTTGTATATATAGGAATAAAATTGTTAAGCTATATTTTGATGATAAATATAGAACAGTTTATGTTAAGTATTATATCAAATCACACATACCCTATACACATATATAAACGATTTCATCATATATCATTTGATAAACATCATATAATATTATTTGATAAACATTTGATAAAAATATTTTGGGGTTGGAAGTTGCTAAATGTAATTATAGTAAGTCTGAGTGAGGTTTCTAGAATGTCCTGGATCTTGACTGTGGAAAGGTAAAGAGTCTGTTGTGTCCTCTAGTTGCCATGGTTACCTCTCAGGATTTTAATCCCAAGTGTCCCTTTATTTTGAGGCTGGGCTTTAAGAATGTCCCTCAAAGAGTTGATTTGTTTTTTAGATGCTATTATTTGTATGTAACAAGACAGTCTGCTTCTGACACAGGTAAATTACCCGTGTGGGCCCTTCAAATCACTGTTACCTCCCTGGGCCCCCATTTCCTCATTTGTAAAAACAAACAAACAAAAAATAAAAACACACAAAAAAACATAATCATGTTTAAATGATGAGACCTGTGAAACTCCTCATTTTGGACATAGCTTCTAACACTGCCACAATAAAATTTATAAGGCATATTAAATAAGAATTCTTTCTGAAATAGTAATTTTTAAATAATTGCATTATTGATATTAAAAGAAGACACAAGGGATCTGCTTTATTTCCTTTATTTCATCATATTTGTACTGTAGGATGATGAGCATTACAATGTATTATCTTGACGTCCTGAAGAATGCTGAATTTCTTTTTTGAACCTGATTTTCAGGCACAGTCCTGTGCCCTGATAATTCTGGAAAGGAAACTGGCTTGGCAAAGATTTACTGCCGTCACATCGAACACACACACGTTTTGCTTCTTCTTGCTATCTAGTAGATCCAAATACTTGAGGCTACTCATGACTTTCTGGAAAACTACGCTTGTCAGTTTTCTGAACTCAGTGAGTTCAGGAGTGCTAGAGCTATCCATACTGCCACAGTTCAACTTCATTTATTTTTTGTCCCTCTGGATGTGAAGGATACATGAAGGGGCCAACAAAAGCCATGGCCATTTCCCCCCAGCTTCTGGGTCAGAAGGAGGTGCTAGTAGTTTTCTGAGAAGAGTAAAGGCCCTGTCCTGCAGACAAGCTCGAATAAGGCTACCAAGGTTTAAGGAGTCACTTTACAATACAAGAGCATTTCACCCTAAAGGGTATGTATGAACTTAAACCTGTGCTCTAAGGCACCCTTGAGGACATTGCCATTTCCTTCAGCACAGAGTTTCTAGGGCATCACTCCCTTTTCTAGTGGAGGAGGTGTTACAGTGCTCCTCACTTCTGGGATTATGTTCCCACTGGGCTCAAGGGCCTCTATATATACCTCCCAGAGGGTGACATGCCAGCTTGCCCAACAATGCTGCTACATTGTAACATGATCATTACCCGGGACAGTCATTTTGACCAAAAATGGTCATCTTAAGTTTTACCAAAAATATGATCTGACCTTTTAACCAAAAATGGTAATAATACTGATTTTAAAATATATTCCCACTTGTGAGGGACTGTCTGATGTTGGCTACTGCCAAGTGAGGGTTGTGGCAAGATGGGGTAGGAACTGGGTATTAGGAAGTAACCGGAGCTCACGCTCCCGAGGCAGGGGCTGTGCTAGGCGGAGTTGTGGTGAACTGTGATGGGAACTGGATACGGAGAAGTAAGCGGAGCTCACGCTCCTGAGGCAGTGGGCAGTGCTATGTGGAGCTGTGATAAGCTGGGGAAGGAACAGAATACAAGGAAGTAGCCAGAGCACGTGCTCCTGAGGCAGGGGTCTGTGCCACGTGGGAGTGGGACGGCAGAGAACGAGTTCCTTTGTCTAGTCCTCTTCCCTAGGTGCAACGTTAACCCCAGACGTCTCCTTCCTGACTTCCTGGGTCACGTACTTTCCCTTTGTGTAGCACTGACCCCAGATGCCTCCTCCCGGTATCTGGGCCTGACTTCCTGGGTCACGTCCTCTCCCTAGGTACAGCTCTAACCTAGACGCCTCCTTCCTGTATCCGGTCCTAGCCTCCTGCGTCACTTCCTCTCCCTTGGTGCGCTAAACCCAGACATCCCCTTCCGGTATCTGATCCTACAATCAATGACTAGTAGGCGGGCTGAGGAGGAGAGGCTAAGTAGGTACTTAAGGAACAGTAGAGCTCGGAGCTCACTCTCTCTTTTGCTCCTGCTCTCTTGCTCTGGCCTTCCTGTTTGGCTTTGCTGTTATGGCCTCTGAATAAAGCTCGAGTGTTGGCACTTCCTGATCGGCTTGTCTCTGTGTGTTTATCCGGGTGGGCACTGAAGACTGGTAAGTAGCATGACTCTGGCAGCCTGCTCCTTATAGGAGGAGAGTGCATGGCGTGGCTGGCACAAGTGGCGCCCAACGTGGGGCGGAGGAAATAGGCCAGGGGCCCTGCGGATCAGCTGGTCTGGTCGTGGGAAGAGAGACGAGACCCGTAGCCAATAGGGTGAAGGAAGGAAGATGGGACAGATGTTTGTTAAGGTCCCGGATCGGGAGGTGCTAGGGAAAGAAGTATATAAAAGAGTGAAAGAAGTAGAAATCAGTAGTGAGGAAGAATCAGGGAGTGAGGCAGAGGACACTGGAAACAGGGATTGGGAGAATAAGCAAGAGAAAAGAAAGCAAGGCCAGGCAGGAGGGCAGGAGCAGGAGAGTAGGAGCAAGAGAGCAGGAATCCGTAGCAAGGAAAGCTACGTGGAGGCGTGGCCCCCTCCCCCAGACTTCCCTTTTGAGGAGAACAGCCCGTCCGCTCCTCTGGCTCCCTCTTATGGGGCCATGGGGGACCCCCCAACCAGGCTAGGACAAATGCTCCAGAAGGCAGTGGTAGAAGGAGATATGGACGCCAAGGCATGGCTAGATGCCTGACCGGTGTTTGAATCTGACGGAGGGAGGACCTGGACCCCTTTTGAATGGAATCAATTTAAGGAGTTAAAAGAGGCACTAAGTAAAGTGTATGCAGCTGTCTCCCAATGTGCTCAACGGGCTTTTAGTAGGATTCAGGCTTTGGGGAAACAAAGGGCCTCCATGACCAAGATTAAAAAAGGT